CTTCTTCTTCTTCTTCTTCTTCTTCTTCTTCTTCTTCTTCTTCTTCTTCTTCTCCTCCTCCTCCTCCTCCTCCTCCTCCTCCTCCTCCTCCTCTCTTCTGTGGTCTCTATCTCTTTGCAACTGCGTTCATTTCCTTCGCAATTGGGTGGCATTGTCTTTCATTTTGAATTTGCACTTTGGGAATGACCAGGATCGTAACATGTGCAATTATTCTGTGCCCACATTGTGTCGTGCCTGTTTCTTGTGGGTTGAGTCTGATCGAATTCTTCACGGTCCTCACTCCTCACTCCTCACTCCCACATTTGTTGACCTCAGGCTCCCCACTTGTCCGATCACACGATTTGGTATGTGACAACTGGGAGATAATTTCTTACGACAGATGAGCATCCTTGCTTCTGATCCAATCCCGTCATCGCCTGTCTACAGACAGGCAATATTGAATCCCGATTTCTCTGTATCCGTGTGGAAAAGGGATTTCTGTGCTGTTTGTTTCAAACACACACAGACCGCACATGCATCAACTCATCTGGGTGGATCAGGGGTTGTTATGAAACTAGGGTCAAGCAGTTTGTTCTCTTTTTGTTTCAAATTTGCATGTACTCATCTGGGTGGGAAAGGGGTTGTTATGGTGACAGTTCACAACACACTTTTTGGGTCACTATTGCTCGAAATTGATCGGGATGAAATAGAGGTTGAACCCTTGTAGGCAGGCGATCCTTGACAAAACACGCACATGTAGACGTACACAGATACTCTCTCTCGTATGCATGCATGGGCTCATGGAGTCATGGACCCTCTCCCACCACCTAAAATGTGTGTGCCTTCACTGCCTTCTAATTTTCAGAACATTTGTGTAGAGAACTTCAGATGCTGATGAATCATCATGGGAGTGTTTTTTTTTTTTTTTTTTTTTTTTTTTTTTTTTTTTTTTTTTTTTTTGCTTTCGCCCAAATTTGCTGTACATTATATAAAAATCTGACTACAGTCTGTGGGTTTAATAACTCTTCAATCATTTTATCCAACTTTGTCACTGCAGTTGAATTCACCACCTATGGCCGTACAAGTGTTTGGTTTTTATCATTTTATTACTTTTTTTAACTTTTTGTCCTCGTACCCTTTGTTGCAGTGATCTTGGTCAAATCATTTGCTCATTCCTTTTATCGCTGCATTCCAAGCGCCAATCCAAAGCACCAATCCAAATCGCTCAATTTAACGAAATCGCTCCTGCCAGGAATCGAACGGGCAACCTGCTGATCAGAAATCAGAACGCCTACCACAAGGCAAAGTGAGCTGGGATTTGGTATCACAATATTTTTCACACTGTGAGCTTCTTGTCTGTCGGGCATCTCCGGTTCCTGGCTTTTGACCCTTCCACCTCCTCAGTACTTTGTTTAACAAGGCTGCCAGAGTGGCGCTGGATATTTCACTACCCATTGCCCAATCATACACCTGCAGAGCATTCCTGGAGCTACTATACGTTTTGGAAATTTGGACTTTTTACCAAGGCTACCAGAGTGGCCTGTGACCACTTGCCCGGCCGGGCCAAAACAAAATAAAAAGTATTAGAAACATTAACAAAATTAAATAAATAATAATAATTAAAAAAAATGAAGTTTATTTTATAATTTAAATTTGGTAAAGAAATTGGATGTGAGCCTGAGGCAAAAGTTTTTCAGTTTATTTTTCTGCATAACATTATGTTTTTTTTTTTTTTTTTTAACTTTTTTGAAGTTTTTTCGGTTTTTTTGTTTTTTGTTTTTAGTTTTTGTTTGTTTGTTTGTTTGGCTGGGACCTTCTTTGGTCCTTGCACGGCCGGGCCACCCGGGCAAACAAGGTGACCGGGGCGGCCCGGCTGGTAGCCTATCTTTTTACTACTTTTTAGTCCCCTCTTTTCAACATCAAGGCAGTCACATAAAAGTCACAAAAGTCACGAAAGTCACAAAAGTCACAAAAGTCACAAAACCCTTTGGTCTTTCTGTGTTTTGTCAAGCGGGCCTTGCAGGCTTTCTTCAAAAGATTGTTCAAGACAGAGAAGGAAGACTCATAGGTACTCACATTTCTGTTCAGACTGGTCATAAGTCCTGTCAGTTTTAATTGGCTGCCGCAAGTGAAAACAGCTCCAGGGTCAGTGTGAAACCAATATGTACGCAATACTACGCATTGGCCACGTCAGGGCACTGATAAAACTTTACTACCCTGGATTTGTGCTCTGGGCGCTGTTGTCGCGCTTATCATGTACATCAGGCTCGTGCCCTGGTGCGCTCTATGAGGGGTACTGGAGCAGCAAGCAGTGAAAGGATAGACGGACGTGTTCCCGTACAAACTCGAGCATCCGTCTCTCTGCAAGACCAGGAATCTGGGGGATCTACACTTCCAACAAGAAGAAGTGAGCAGCCCGGCAGTGGCGGCGGCACTGTTGCACGCGATCCATTGGGCATGATGAATCGCGCACCAACACGTCAGATGGTTGAAAGCAGGTCAGATGGAAAAGATCAACCACCAGTACCTCTCCCCGAGAACTCCAATCCAAACAGCAGCAAGGACAACCCAATCGGACAAAGCATTGCGACACCAAGGCAGGATGAAATTCAGCAAAATGCCATGAGCGATGGCGGTACCGCCGGGAAGGCAGCACATGTTCATGAAGACAGTGGTTCAGATGGTCTGGTCGTCACGCGGTCAAACAGCAACACTGATAATCGACAAGTGGGTGTGGGGGGAGGGATGAATCTGGGGATGAATCTGAGAAGTGAAGAGAAAAGGCCACAACTCAAGGTGCAGGGAGGGAGAGAAGGGGGGACCACGAACATGCTCCCGGAAGCTGCAAGCAGTGACTCCAGTGATCTCCATAGACATTTGAGAAAACCACTGATCGGTAAGGACCAACAGGAGGGGGTGAACAGTGTTGGCCCTGATGGTAGTGGTGGAGGAGCTTCTAGTGATCGCCAGGCGGACGCTTCTAGCAACTACCAGGCGGAGCAGAGGCACAAGGCCGGTGAAGGCACAGGGGGGGTTTTGGCCTCGGGTTATCGAATGGATCAGCGTCCCGCATTCTCCCCGCTGTCAATGTCTCAGGTCGACAAGCATGTTCTAGCCGAGCTTCCGACTCCTATACGCATGGAAGTGGTCCACGGTATTGCCCCTCACAGGGATTGGACAAATGCTGCCAACAGAAGCATGCTCCCGAAAGCTGCAAGTAGTGACCCCAGTGATCTTCATGGATGTCTGAGGCAGCCCGTATCGGGTAGTGACCGTCAGGACGGAGTCAACACTGCTGGCCATGATAATACAGCTAGAGGATCTTCTAGCGACCACCAGGTGGACACTGCTTCTACCGACTACCAGGCGGAACGGAGCCACAAGACCGGCGAAGTCGCAGCAGATGTTTCGACCCCAAATCGTCAAATGGATCAGCGTCCCTCATTCTCCCCACTGTCAATGTCTCAAGTCGACAAGCATGTTCTAGCAGAGCTTCCCACTCCTATACGCATGGAAGTGGTCCATGGTATTGTTCCCCACAGGGATAGGAGAAATGCTACCAACCACCATGGCAGAGAAAGAGTTCTTCCCAGTGACAGTCGGATAGAGAAGACGAATGTCACTCCCAACAGCCGGCATGCAAGGGTCGAGGACTCGTCAAGTGGAATGGACAGGCGGTCAGCGTTCTCCCCTCTGTCGATGTCTCAGGTGGACCAGAGTGTTCTTGCAGAGCTTCCCACTCCAGTGCGTACGGATGTGATGCGAAATCTCTCTCTTCACCGGGTTGGTAGAAGAGAAGGGTCTCCCCAAGCAGAAGGACGCATCCGCAATCCCCCATCGCCGCCATCGGTGCCTTGCCATACTGGTGGAAGGGATAATCCTCTTAGGGGTGTGGAGGGTAAACCAGGATCAGAAGGAATTTCAGAGAGAGGAGAAACTATCGCCGAGGCTCTGGAACATGTTGATCTGTGGGAGGGTACCACCACCCCCAAGTGGATGCAGCTTTGTCGCAGCGGGCTCCGATCCCTCCAACTGATGATGACAGCTGTGGAAACAGGGTTTCCTCACCATCCCTGGAGAAATGGACTTCAGCTTGCAAGGGAGATCCAGGGATCGAATCCACACGAGAGCGGAATCTCTTTGTCAAAGTTGCTGAAGCAGCTTGTATTGGCACCTCCTTCCGTTCCAGTTGTGCCAGAGCTAGATAGCAATGATGAAGATGGAGAGCGAAGAACGCAACTACCTGTAGATTCTGGTAGGTCAAGAACTGAATGTAAAGATTATCATCCTGACCGCACCGCTGCAGGTGGTCAGGAAGCTGCTGCTGTCGCTGCCGCTGCTGGAGATATGTCCGCCGATGCCATCGGGGTGTACACCCGACTGATCATAGATTTTGTCCAAGCCATCGTCAAAGAGGACCTTGAAGAGATCCAGAGTGTGATGCAGTTCCTACACAGGTAAGTACTATGCATTCTTTCCATAGCAGGAACGGATGTTCGCAGCAATACTGACGTGCAAATCATTCGCCGGACTTGGGTATAGGGGCGAAAGATTCCCACCTTCCCCCCCATATATATATATATATATATATATATATATATATATATATATATATATATATATATATGCGTCATGTTCGGGGGAAGGACAGTTTGTCACAGCCCCTCGTTTGTTGTCCTCTTCTCCCTCTCTGCCTACGGTTTACCGGGCAGTTCTATTTGACGATATATACTACGACTTCGCTAGCTTCCTGCTACGGTTTTCTCCGGTCAGGTCGAGCGGCAGTGGTCGGGGCCGTCACTACGCGGCCATGCTGTGCCTCTAGTGCCAGCGGCGTGTCTGGAGTGTATTTTTTGGCTGTGACAGACCTTTCTTTGTTTCGTGGGTGTTTTGCTGGCTTGTGATGGGGTGTGAACCGACAGTCTGTAGAGTTTTCCATCTGGTGTGGGTGAGTGATAGTCTACTTTGATTTTGGTTAAGGTGGATTATCACTTACAGTGTAATCAGTGAGGGGATTCTACAGACTGTTGAGGGTTCAGCCTCCTGATGAGTCGGTGAAACTCCGACGAAACAGTTTGTCACAGCCCCTCGTTTGTTGTCCTCTTCTCCCTCTCTGCCTACGGTTTACCGGGCAGTTCTATTTGACGATATATATATATATATATATATATATATATATATATATATATATATATATATACGTTGTAAATGAATACAATGCATGTGCCTTGCGTTCAAATATAACGCATATGCGTTCTATTCGAGTCATCGATTTTTTTTTCCGAGAACTCGAATACAACGCGTATTTTCAGGGGAAGACGGTAATCGAACCGTCTAAGAAAATTGAAGCTTTTTCCTTCCTTCCTTCCAAGTGTATGTTAATGCGCTGGCAGCTCTGTTGCCGAATAGGGATACTGCGATAGATACTCCATCTCGTGGTCATTGATGATATGGCAAGCAACGCCTTGCCTCTGCTTGGCATAGTGGTAGCGACCGCATGGTCGCGTTTACTGCTGTCTGCTTTGCATGTCCTTGGGCTAACATGTTGCATGCTGCTACCAATGTGACCTTACTTTGTCTGGAGTCTTTGGACGGTGTGATTTCTGCCATTCTGTTCATTGTTTGGCTTCTTTTTCATTTTCTTTCGTTGTTTGGCATTGCACATATGTCTTTAATAATGAGTTTAAGTTTAATCTTGAAGCTATCAAATTTTATTTTTTTTTGTTTTAAGTGTCTTTTTTTTTTTAATATAATTGTAAATGCTGGAAGCCAGCTACAGCGTCCCTTACGTCAATTGTAGCCAATCAACGCCTCTCCCCATTATGGCTAAGAGATCCTGAGACAATAGCATTTATTACTTTCTTTTGGCGGGATATAACCGCTGCTCCCCCCCTGCTTTAATATTTAATATTTATTGGGAAAAAAAGCATTTGTCATTTTGTATTATATTAGCTGGAAACCAGGTCCAGCATCCCTTGGAAGAAGAACCAGTACTTACGCTTCTCTCCGTCGTGACTGGGAGAACCTGAGTGGCTGGCTTTCCTCGGGGAAGGATGTACGTCCACCTTCCCGCTGTCCCTCGCTCAATCAACCTCACTTCCTCCTTTTTTGTCCCTTAGCTGCAAGAAGAACTTACTTGAGTATTTGGTTTGAAAGAAGGGGAGTATGGGCCAGGCCCATTAGGACCTGTTCTCTGCGACCTTGGGCGCAAAGGAGAGGAAGAAAAAAAACTGGGCACTGTTTCTAGTGACTTTCATCATGTTCGCCTTTCCTTGGACCCCAACGGGGAGGAAGAAAACTGGGCGCTTTCCTTGGGCCCAACGGGGAGTGAGAAAACTGGGCTTTGCTTGGGCCCAACTGGGAGGAAGAAAACCGGGCACTGTTTTTTTTGAGCGACTTCATCATGTTTGCCTGTCTATCAGCTCCGCGATGATGTACGCAGCGTCGACTTTGATCTCAGACGATGTCGACATGCGCTTTCGCCTACATTAAACCACCAGTACAGTACACCTGAGCCTGGCACGCAGTGCAAATTCTCTCAGCGGAACTTGCACTGCGCGCCACGCTTTGCCGAACCACCAGCGGCACACTTTTTTCCTTTTTTGGCTGCTGCTGTCAGCCACCATTGCCCGGCAGCCCCGAGGCTCCAAAATTTGTAGGAGTCAGTCTGACTCAGTCATTCGTTCTTGAAGCTGGCTGCGCGGCTGTGTACTGGCGGTTTAGTGCTGCTGAAAAAAAAAAAAAAAAAAAGAGAGCGGCAGTCCACAGTGCTCCATTCGCGTATTGTGCAGGATTGCTCACATGTGACCTTGGCTACCAGAGTGGCCCGGGGTCACTTGCCCGGCCGGGCCAAAAAAAAATTAAAAAATATGACGATATATATGATGAGTCGGTGAAACTCCGACGAAACAGTTTGTCACAGCCCCTCGTTTGTTGTCCTCTTCTCTCTCTCTGCCTACGGTTTACCGGGCAGTTCTATTTGTGACGATATATATATTTTTTAAATTTATTTTTTATTAAAATTTGGTGAAGAATTTCGATGTGACCCTAAGGCAAAAGTTGTTCTGTTTATTTTTCTGCACAACATAGTTTTTTTTCGGAGTTTTAAAGTTTTTGGTTTTTTTTTTTTTTTTTTTTTTTTTTKCTGGGACCTTCCTTGGTCCTTGCACGGGCTGGCCMCCCGGGACCCGGGCGGCCCGGCTGGTGGCCTAGCATGTGACTACATCAGGAGATCAGCTCCTGTGGCGTTCTCTGCTATCACTTAGGCGGCTTAGGCCATACTCACACCGGTATTTTTTTGACTGACCTCTGGACGTACTTGCAGTCAGATACATTCAAGTGTGTCTGAAATTGCAGGCAGATGCATGCAGAAAGGTAGCTGTGTGAGTATGCCCTGCGCGATATCAGGAACCGTCTTGTCCGGCTTCTTTTGTCTTGCCGATTGGTTGCATGTAGCAGTTCGTTGTGACCCTTTGCACGTGCCTGCCATTGAGTCTGCGACATTGCAAATGTTTGTTTTTGTGCGGTGTTTGGCTGAAGGTTGGGAACGAAATGGGAGTTCTGGAGGAAGGTGGAGTTACAAGCCACTCCTGTGGTGCAGGTAGGGTGAATGAACACTGAAAACAACCCGCAGTCCTGGAATCGGGATGGTGATATCGTCTACGGTACAGTCGATGGGTTATAGAAATTCTTATAGTCTATAGAGTCTATACTACCTGTCATCCGAAGTAGCGGACTCGTTACAATCGTGGTATGGATGCTATACAAAGTGCAAGGACAAATCGTTTTTTTTTATAAATAAAAGTTCATAAAAGTTCATACAACTGGATTGTTTGGGTTTAGGCCCTTTAGGGTTGTTGGACGCAATGTATGGTCTTTATCGGCGAAAGACGTGAAGATAAAAAGCAGTGATGGCTTCCTTCCTGAAAAAAGTACAACAGACTTTATTAGAGAGAAGAAGATTTCAGACATTTCCTCTTGCGCTGAAATTTTTGGCAGTCCTTGCCCCAAGTCTTCTGAGAATAGACATGGAATGATCTTGCATGCAATGCCATGCATGCCATCTTTTATTTCAGGCGCGCATGAGTTGCTGTACCTGTGGGTTTCCCACAAAGCCGTCGATGGCCAGGATCCTGCGTGGATGCGGCTGCCTGTGGAAGATCTCATGGTGCTGGGGTGGGCTGCATGTCGCGACCGGTATGGCTTAAGCTTTTTGAAAACCGGGTCACCGTTGGTATGGCTTCAGCTTTGAACACCGGGTCACCGTTGCAGTGGTAAAGGCATCAGGCTGTTATAGTCGAGGTCACCGGTTCAATCCCATCTGGCTGCGGAACGATCACTGGGATACAATGATAAACTTACCGACAGCTGTGTCGTGAATTGATGATATGATAGTTACGATACCAATTAGACTTTCTTTTTCTTTTTTAATTGGAGTGTTGATATGCTAGTTAGGATACCAATTAGACATTCTTAATGATTCTTTTTCTTTTTTCAATCTGGAGTGTTTCTCTGTGGGTGTGGGTGTGGGTGTGGGTGTGTGTGTTCCATCGTTGAATGTGCGCACGCAGTGCTAATCTTTTTTTTTTCTGTATCGTTGCAATTGCCAATTCATTATGGACGCCCCGAAGGACCTGATTAGACACTATCGGTTTTGTAATGGACATGACAAATTGATAATAATCATTCGACTCGGTGATTTTTGTTTGACTCCCTGCAGGCTGTCGTGTCCGAAGAATATGGTGGAGCTCTTGCCCTCCCAATGTAAGATTCTGCTCGGACGTTTATAATAATACTTCACATCACCGGAAGACATTCGCGGTTTCTCCTCAAGAAACGTATTATATAGGCTGTACCAGAAACTGACAAATATTATATTGTTCTTATGCTGGGAATAGGCGGAAGGTTGTCCTTCGGGACATCTGCTAAAATTGGAACGAGACAGAAAAGATTAGCATAGCCCCGGGCCCTGGCACATAAAACTGCCATAAATCAAGAAATAGTTCAAATTTTTGGGACCTAATAGGCAGAAGGAGGCAAGTGAGCCATCAGGGCTGGGGTATGTACGCTCAGTCCAGACCAAGGAGCACTTTGCAACATTCGTAAAAGCCGATCAAGGTACTATATACTATATACTATATAGTTATTAGTTACTATTATAACTTTATAAATTACTAACTTGCTATAAGGTAAATATGGTCTATAGATTCTATACATGGACAAATACCAAGAGGAACAAGTCAGGAGAATCACACCAACTTTCTTTTTTTTGGGGGGGGGGGGGGGGGGGGAGGGGGGACAATGCTCCAATCTATTTGTGGGGAGCAACACGTGCTGGGGACAATGCTATATGTGGGGAGCAACACGTGCTGGGAACAGAAGAAAAAAAAAAGCTTGAGACAGAGGTACAGAGTCTCTTCTAAGTGGGACAGAGTTACTTCCAAGTCAGGACAAACCAAGAAGAAGAGAGAGACCAAGGTACCGCGGAGTCAAGATGAAATGACAAGGCGAAGGGGCCCATGCCAAGGGGGGTTGTCTGAGTTCTTTGTCTCTTTTTCTTTTCTTCAGGTGCTTGATTCCTATAGGCTTCCCCGAATGCCAACAATTAGCAGTAGGGGAGTAGTGGTACGTAAGTTGAGAGAGATGAATTTGAGAGAACATTATAGCTTTGTCAATTTTGTGAAAAAAAAAAAAAAAAAAAAAAAAGGACAAATGAAAGATGAATTAGATGCATTGCAATCAATTCATATTTGCGTGGAACTGAATGTATATACGACTATTATACGTCGATCAGAGTCGTTGTGACCTGGCAGGCCTTACGTTTCAAGCTGGGAACGCCAGGGTCAGTAATTGTTTTAGGTTAGGTTGCGAGTCTTGCGACAAAATAGGTTTCGTGGTTTTCCACATGTGGACAGTGAGCTCTGAAGCTTTTAGCTTACTATAGGCTGATTACGGGGCGTCCATTTTTTGGACGGGTCCTGTCGCTTTGGCGAGACAACGGATGTAACAGATTAGATCAGACTGCGTATGATGCACTCGTAATATTTGATATTGGTTTCAGTGCATACCGTCACTTTGTGGAACCATTCAATGTAGGGGGCTGGGGGGGAATAAAACTTAAGTAGCAGACAGGCAAGGGTTGCTTGACATCGATTTCAGAATTTTCAGTTGCGCCGGTGTCACTTTGGTGAACAAATGAATGTAGAAATGAACCTTTTTTTTTTCCAGAAGTGAACTTCTTTTTTTTTTTTTCTTTTTTTTTTTTTCGCCGGACTGAACTGCAGACCAAAACTTCAAAAGCAGAGAGAGGAGTCCAAATTTCCAAAGAGCTTTTTTTTTTGGGGGGGAGGGGCGGAAACAGTATGCTACAGTCAGAATACCGCACCAATGTTTTTTAGAAGTGAACTTAGTTAGGCAGCACACAGGAAAGCGTTGGGGGCGAACAACTCGATGTAGAAGGTTTTTTTGTGTACCATGTTTGTACGGTTGCGGGATGTAATCTGTGAATCCACCTACAAATGCAAATGGATATCATACATCAGTGGTTCAAGTGAATGACGTCGTTATGGTATATGATTTTGTTCATTGTGTCAGAAGTAATGTTTTTTTGTAGCTTTTTTTGGGGCTTTCTTTCATTCAATTCTCGCGCCTACAATCTTGGGTAGCAGACGGACGCAATCTCGGGTAGTTTGAAGTTTGAACAACTCAATTTAGAAGTCATCTTACCCAGCAAACAGTACGCAAGGGTTACCGTCAAGTTGTCACCGAGGCACATACGGGCAAGGGTAGGTTGAGGGTGAACAAGTCAATGTAGAAGTAATATCTAATATCTTACCCAGCAGAAGGTCAAGGGTTGTCAAGGCGCACCCATCGTCCCCGTGACGAGGTAGTAGGTATACGCATTGGAAGCATCGTTTTTGGTGAGGTTGGTGTGGTGTTCTTGGTACCTTAGCACCGAGAGAGTGCAGTTTTGCGTAGGATAGGATAAGGAGTCTCCTGGCGTCTTGTCATGGTGTTGGCACAGGGGTTGAGTTCATGGGAGGAGGGACGTAGACAACTTAGACAAGTGAACCACGCACCGCTCTTCAAGGTTGATGGATGCAAGCTGAGAAAAGGAGCATGATTTGGAAGTCCTTAGAGCTGTCCTACGATCTCTCGCTCCCCATATCCCCCCCATGCCTCCTATCTCCAACCCTTTTTCCCGCATCCTACCACCTCTCTCTCTCTCTCTCTCTCTCTCTCTCTCTCTCTCTCTCTCTCTCTCTCTCTCTCTCTCTCTCTCTCTCTCTC